TTCCTTGTTAGTTCATTTTTTAATTAAAGCATAAATATTAGTGAGGTTATTGGACTGTGCCCCTCCACAATTAGCGTGTTACGAGAGAGAGGAAATGAAATCATAGCGTCATCTTTTGTGGCAATGTCAGTACTCAATTTCAGTCGTTAAACCGTTATCTGTGCCAGCGGAGTCTGCTGCTCTAAGGTACAGACTACTGGATGAAAGTTTTAACCTAATTTCTGCAAACATCTGGTTAATTTTTGCCACATCCTTCTAAAAGTGTAGCTCTACTCATACACCCTTTTCAAGGTCCTGGTCATGCCGTCTCTTCTCCTGTAGCTCCACAGGCCTTGGAATCAAATTATGACGACTTCTACCTGTGTGCTGTGTAATGTAGTCAGTGAGTAGTGTCCTATCTATGCTCAGAGTGCTTCAATTTGGCTGTGATCAAGTATTTTCTCCACCGGTAGGTACCAAAATAATGTCCCTAAGCAAGGAATGTGACAATTAGCGACCATAAGCCTCTCTGCTTTAAGGAAAATATTCCATATGTTAGAGGTCATGTCATGATTATTGCCTGGACTATGGGTAGACTTTTTTCATTAAATCCTCTGCATTTGAATAAACCATGGCACACAAGAGAGAAATTCAATGAACATGGAACTATATTTAGAGAATCAGGTCACATTTTAGAAACTGTAGGACTGTCATCTATAAAGTATTTGGAATGCTTTTACCTGTGCTTTTTGGCAACTAAATGTAACCTAGAATAACAAGTGAATAATATTTAGCCTTCTCAATTTAGAAATAAAATAAACAGTAATAATAAAAAAACTGTTATGAAATTGAGACTGATAATTGCACTTCAAGTATAAGAACTTTCTAATAACTCTTTAGATGATGGAAAGCCACTAGAATTTATTTTTTTTTCATGGGGTGGGGGAGGAGGATGGAGAAGTCTAGTAGAAATATTAAAGGTCAAGTTTTATAAGTGACCGTCCTCACTGGTGCAAATCATGTCACTGTTGCTGGATGGAGATGCAGTTCTGATTTGGTGTCTGAAGAAACCATATTCAGCAACTAATACTTCCATTCAGAAAAGTACAGAAAGCATGTGCTCCTTTTCAAGAATGTGATTCAAACCTCTTCATGTTTTCTGTGCTTAACTGTTTTCATGATGAGGAGCACTAAAGGAACATGCTGGCTAGATGAGATGGGGTGACAGAAGACTTACTGTGGGGAATGTTTGGACATTCTTGAGGCAACAACGATTACTATCACCGTAATTATTGCTCTTTACCAGCAGTGCCTCAGTGTTATGAGTAATGGATTTTTATTTTAACGGTTAACCAGTGCACTGAGATTGCTCAAACTTACCAAATACTTCCTCTGTATTTGTGTTCCCACTTGCAGTCTGACAAGAGTTGAGTGAATCTGTGTTCATTTGTTTCATTGCTGTCTGTCAGTTCTGAGGTGTTTATTGAATGTTACTGACTAAAATACCTAAAACTTTTATAAGTGTCTAGCCTGTAGTTTGTCAAAAGATATACTTCTGCTTTCAGTTTCACATGCATGCCGTTCCAGTAAAGTGACTCATGTCCACATGGGTGTCATAGACTTGTATTTCATATAGTTGACTGTAAAGGTCTTGCATCAAATTTGAAATACTTTTGTTCCATCTCATAGGCTAATTTTCTATCAGAATAGTTCTTCTCAAATTCCATTCCAGGCCCTAGGAAGTTAGATTTCTCTTTGTTTTAAACACTTGTTTTTTGCTAATAAGTAGCATCCAGCAATGAGTGTGTTATGGTAGTGTTTTCATTTAGATCAGCAATGCAGTTTTGAACTGAATCTCCTGTTCGCCCCCGCTTTGGTTTGCATTGTGGACTGATACTGGGGAGTGACCTGGACCCGATTCCTTTTGGACTAAGTAATCTGAAAGATGCACTGCAGGAATGTTCCTAATGCACTCCAGCCACTAATAAGCCTTCAGTCTTTGAGATTAAATCTTAGAGCTAGTCCAAAGTAGAAAGCCCCTGGAACATGTATAACATGGAATGTGTCCTTAAAATCAACTCTTTCACTGTACAGGCCCACTTTTATTGGCCCATGCTGTTGCTAATACAGCCATAGCCACCGAGTATTGCTTAGCACTTATGTGAAACTAGTTTTGTACACGTGAAACATTGTTGGATGAAAGACATACATTTATAACTGACCACACGACAATTAGTGTGATTATTTGTGAAGTTTTCACTTACGTATTTGAACTTTTAAATGCTTTTAATACTCCAGAGTACCTATTTGCATGTTGCTATTAATTTGTAATTTAT